ATTTATTCTATTTTCTTATTCGAAGGTTGGAAAAACAATGCTAACTAGATACTTGAATAATGCATTCCATTTTCATGAAACAATACTTTTTTAGAGTCATAACTTCCAATTTATTGCAAGTATTTGAAGTAAATTCATATAAATACTCTTGGAAAACTGCAGTTTGAGGAGTGTCTCTGTGTAAATATATAGAATTAAAGCATTCATCAATATTTTCATGTTGCTAAACATGTGGCTATTTTCAGCATGTGGTTCAATTTCTCAAACCGTATTAATTAAATTATTGGCATTTTAATGACACATGTAATGATCATTTTTAAGAAATAATTGTTTTAATAGTTGAATTTCTCCCCCCCCACCAAAGTGTAGTGAGTAATAAAGTCAATGGAACTTTAAGAAGAGTATGCAAAAAGACAATAATAATGCTTTACTACACACAATTGCAAAGAACTAGTCTAATCAAAATTCATGAAATTGCTGTACACTGGAATGCTCTAACAAAGTTATTGTCTAGAATTCTAGCTATTAATGAATAAATTATTCTGATTTTTCACATTAGTGAATTCTGAATACCATACATGTTTCTTGAATATGTTCATTCTGCAGCTACAGGTTTGTCCTTTAATTTGTGGATCATTATTTGGTCACAAGGAAAGCCTACCAAGGTGATAGGGAGTTAGGGTATATTTACAAAGGAACTGCCTGACTGATACAGATTAAACCATTAGAATTTTATGTAATGTTAATTGTTTTTTTTTTTAAGATTTTATTTATTTATTCATGAGAGACACAGAGAGAGAGAGGCAGAGACATAGGCAGAGGGAGAAGCAGGCTCCCTGCAGGGGCTTGATGTGGAACTCAATCCCGGGACTGGGGATCACACCCCGAGCCAAAGGCAGATGCTCAACCACTGAGCCTCCCAGGTGTCCCTGTTAATTGTTAATATACACTATTCTGTTCTTATTGAGTCTCAGATATTTTAATTTCTGATCTCTTTTTATTGACAAAATATTCTGAAACATTATTGTTTGTAGAGAGTAGGATCTTTTCTTCAGGTTTAATACACAATTTATAATGATGTAGTCAATGATTGTTCTAACAGTGAAAATTTTGTGAAACATCCAAGAATTTAAGTTGTAAAATAAGTATTATGATCATCCTTGACTGGAAGAGGTATGTATGGTTGATAGTATCCTAGGAACAAAATCTAATTTGTAGGCAATTATTGCACAAATCCTTGTATATAAACATGAGTATGTTTCTAAGTAGTATATAATTATCAAAATATTGATATATTTTGTAAATTTGAGTGGCAAAGGAGCTGTCACAATAGTTTAGATTTCATTAAAAATTGAAGAATATAAAAAAAACTATTTTTCATTTTATAGGGAAGAGCAATACTTGTGTTAATCTTGGATCACTGCAAGAAATCTAAAGATAGCTCAAGTTTAAAAGACAGCTTAACCATTTTATTTTTCTGAATTTGTTTTAATTTGGGTTGAAATACGATACTTAAAAGTGTTGTCAGAGGAGATGAAATATAGACATAGTCAATACACAATAAGTAAAAACAATATATTTATGAGTATATGTTATATATAAATATATATTTTATAAATAAAATCTATATAAATATTTTATTTATAAATAATTCAATTAAAAAATAAAATAAAATTTAAAAATTGCCAAATGATTAGGGATATGCCACAACTAAGAAATACTACACAATGCTTTTTTAATAAAAGGAAAAAATTATTTAAGAACAGAATACCTTTGCTATTTTAAAGAAATAAATTACAAATTTTAGTTTTATTTTGTATATCTTCCTTGTCATATTTTGAAATAATTTATAATATTTTTCATTGTGCATAAATCTATGATCAATGAACAATTAATTTCTGTTTAAAAATATAATTTGAAAGTATTATAAATTAAGCACTTAGGGTTGACTGTCTTCTGATACTGTATTTTGGTGAAATTCCTCAAGTTTTCTTTTATAATTACTTATTTTTTATGAAAAATTTGAAAGAATCCTTACTTATCTTTGCATTGTGTGTTTAGAAATACATATATAGTTATTCGAGTAGATTATGAAATTCATATTTTTAATATTAGCTTTATAATGTCATTCATTCTCTTAATCTATGTCCATTTTATATTTATAAAATAAGGTACCAGGAAAAGTTAAAAATATTTCAGCGACCAATATTTCTAACCAAACTTAGAAATATTCCAGTGACCAATACTAAAAGGTATTAAAAAATTAACCTTAACAAATTAATTTAATATTAACCTATTGTAAAGTTTACTGAAGAAATAAAAACTATAATGCAAGCTAACAACTGTCTTTTTTATATGTAGGATTACAAGAACTCACAAGACTGAATCATTATAAAAGATACAACTTACTGAAATTTCTTTAAACAATTTTATATCTTGGTAATCTTAAACTGTTTACTAAACTAATTATACCTTATTGGACCCATAAAACTAATGTGCACATTTTTTAAAGATTAAAATACAAGAAATTAAACCCAAGTCTTGTATTTATTTAAATATTGTCCTAGCCTTATTTGTACATGGCAACAAAATAAAAAAGAAGGCATTAGAGGTACTTTTTTTTTAAATTTTTTTTAAAATTTATTTTTGATAGTCACAGAGAGAGAGAGGGAGAGAGAGAAGCAGGCTCCATGCACCAGGAGCCTGATGTGGGATTCGATCCGGGGTTGCCAGAATCGCGCCCTGGGCCAAAGGGAAGCGCCAAACCGCTGCGCCACCCAGGGATCCCCATTAGAGGTACTTTTAAGCTAAAACTAGTCCACTTTAATTAGTTAAAGAGTCATCTACATATCAGGAATAATGTATGGATTCTTTTTAATGTAAATGACACGAACTCATACGTCAAATTTTAAAATATTTACATCTATGCCATGAATCTGTTTACCTAAAACCTAACCACTTACTCACACTTCCATTTAAACTTTTTGATTATGAATTATAGTTTTCCAAAAAAATGTAGAAATGAAGAATATATCTTTTGAATTTTTTTTTGATTTATTTTTTCTTTTTACCCTTTTTATTTGATACTTAACTGGATAAGATACTCCTGGAGTGCACTCCTAATAAAAAAAAAAAATGATTTCTTGTGATCAATTAATCCCAAAATTTCTCCAAAAAGGTGAAAAAGGGAAAGAAGAGGAGAAAAAAAGAATTAATTGGAACCAAGTTCAGCCATATCTACATTTATCACTGGAAAAGCTAAGTTTTTTCCTTTTAAGGAAAGGAAAAGACTTAAATGTAGAAAAATTATACTTTGATACACAGATGACCAAAAGTCATATCAAAATATATTTTTTCTTTCACTTTATAAAGACCACTAGGGTCTTCTTAGAAATCGATATTCTCTTACGTCTTAATTTTTTTTAATTACTGAAAGAGTAAAAGATAGTCTTTAAAAAATCCATCAGAGATCTGCTGTCCTATTCCATACTAAAAAAAAAAAAAAAATTGTTTTTCCTTGATTAACGTTCAGAATGAAAGTGGGTAAGAAGGCAACTAAGATTTCAGTATACAAAAAGTTCAACATAGCCAAGAATTTAATTGAATATCTTCCCTTCTGTATTCCAAAGTATTTTGGAAGCCCTATACATTACATTCCTTATTCAGCTTCAGAGCTATTGTTCTTTCTCACGTTAATATGTTATCTCATGTGTTTTATGTTTTTCTTGTCACCTCCAACAATGTATGTATCATGATGGCTAAATAAATTTACTTTACTTAATTAAGGTTACAATGTTAAAATTAATTATTTAGTTATATGCCACTATCATATATTACCTCATTCACTCAATATGTATATATATGTGTGTGTGTGTGTGTGTGTGTGTGTGTGTGTGTGTGTGTGTACAGATTTGGTAAAGTGTCTTATTGATGTGGAACAAAAGGTCAGTGTATTAATATTAAATTTTTGACTTCTTAATTTTCTAAATCTATGTGACAGATTTAAGTGTCACTTGATATGAAACATTGATTTATTAAGAAAAAGAAAGTGATATTGAAAGAATCCCAGAAAAAAAAGAGAGAGAGAGAGAGAGAATCTAAAGAGAAACAGAAGAAGAGGGAAAAAAAGATATTTTGGATATATTCATAGAAATGTACACAGAAGAATTTGGGGGGATGAAACCCTGGTGTAGCAAAAGAGGAATATAATATAGCTTCAAACATCTGATCATACTCTATTCCTCCCTCGGGTGCTAGATTTTTTGGTATAAAATTTTTAAATTTCATTATTGGAAACTTTACTTTGTTTACTATACAACTTTCTAGCTGCTTGCATACTTAGAGAGATAAGGATAATTGGTTTCATTTTTATTGATTTTTTAAAATGATTTTATTTATTTATTCATGAGAGACATAGTGTGAGGCTCAGAGACATAGGAAGGGGGAGAAGAAGGCTACCTGCAGAAAGTCTGATGTGGAACTTGATCCCATGACCCTGGGATCATGACCCGAGACAAATGCAGATGCTCAACCACCAAGCCACCCAGGTGCCCCTGATTTTTTTTTTTTTTAATTTAAGGGGACTATCTTAAATATGTGAATGTTTATGAAGATTGTTACAATGAATTTGTTGAAGGATATTTTAAAATTTCTTTCTCTACACAGGTTTATGGCCAACACAGGCAACTATTTTCAATTTATAAACAGGTTTCAGAAGAGGAAAGAGAATGGAAAAAGTGATCTCTAGAAGTTCTTTTATGCTCTATGTAATAAAATGATAAATTGAATTGAATATAAAATAAAATCCATTCCATTTTTCATGGAAGCCTTCCATTTTACTCATAATTATTTTTATTTGTCAATGTAATTAATTCTTATTATACTTTGCATCCTTCTCAATATAGGGGTAATATCATAGGCATTGAGTTTCTAATTTTAATGACTGATATTATATACTTATCCCTACAAAAACATTAACAGGGATTATGTATTATTCACAGATATTGGCTGACCTAGAAAACCATGCTTTATTTAAGAATGATCTGGAATGTCAAAAGCTGATTCTGGAAGCAATGAAATATCATCTGTTGCCAGAAAGAAGAACTTTAATGCAAAGTCCAAGGACTAAACCTAGAAAATCTACAGTTGGAACTCTATATGCTGTAGGAGGAATGGATAATAACAAAGGTATACAATTCTTGATCTCTTTATAATACATACCCGGTATCATACCATGGCACCATTTTAATATCATAATCTGTATAATACCAACAAATCTCACATGCTTTATACATTAAGATTTAATATAAAGGGGAAAAATTAAAGAATATCTCTTTTTTTTTCAGTCTGCATTTGCTGCTTCTGCTTATTATTCATCTTTAAATCCTTTATCTCATGTGCATTACGTGCCAGACTTCATATGAAATGAAAAGAGGATTTAAAGCAGTTACTTGCAAAACATGGGCCAAATAATGTGTTGGATATATTGACAACTATATTTCAATTCTAAGCAAAGAAAATGTAATGTGCCAGGCACATGCTTGCCAAGAGCAATATTATGAAGAAGAGAGTTTCTTTTGAGGCATTTAGAATCTCATACAGAAACCAGGCAAATAGACAACTATACATGAGTGTGATAATTGCAGCAGTTATATTTTACAAACTTAATTGTAATTCCAATTTGGGCCTTCAAAAGGCCCCCATTGTCTTGTGGTTACATAAGACAAATAATATAATTGTCATATGTTTGCATCTGATGAGTGATAGAATTATCCACAATATATATATTTTAAATTTTTTTTTTCTTATTTGAGAGAGAGAGAGAGTACATAAGTGGGCAGGAGGGGCAAAAGGACAAGGAGAAGCAGACTCCCCACTGAGCAGGAAGCCTGATGCAGGGCATGATTCCAGAATCCTGAGATCATGACCTGAGCTGAAGGCAACCACTTAACTGACTGAGCCACCCAGATGCCCCAATCCTCAATATGTTTAATGTACATATAAAAGTTATAGTTGGCAACTATAGACTGTGGGTTACATCTTTGATCTGTATTGAAGAACTTTGTTATTAAAGAATTAGAAGGAAGGAACAAGGGACATCTGGGTGGCTCAGTCTATTAAGCCTCCAATTCTTGGTTTCAGTTAGGGTCTTGATCTCAGGGTCCTGGAATTGAGCCCTACCTTGGGCTCCATACTCAGTGCTGTCTTCTTGTCCCTGTCCTTCTGCTCTTCCCCATGTGCTCTCTCTCTTTCCTCTCTCTCTCTCTCTCTCATAAATTTGTTTTAAAAGAAGGAAGCAATGAAACTTACTTCCACCATTGTGAAGTGAAATCCCAAAACAACAGTTTATTTATTACCTAAATAAACAATTCATGTGATCAATAGGGAAAGACACATATTTCCATATTTTTGTCTGTCCTGAAGCTCTTGTGGCCATTAGGTGGGTTTTCACTAGTTTAAATTTTTTTCAGAAGTTTAATTCCTATTTCTTGGGACACTGATTTTTAGTAATCATCACATTAAAAGAGTACTAGAGAATTTATATTTATATGTATGTTATATATATTATATATATATATATTATATATTATATATACAACTGTCAGTTAAAGGGAATAAATAACCTTTTGCTTTAAGAAGTAGGGAAATAGCATTCACCTCTCTCTCTCTCCTTCTCCCAATTTTTGCTAAGTCTTTAGCATATGTTATTACATAAGAGAACATATCAGAGGGTTTCACAAAGAGTGGCTCAAAACCCTCTTTTGTAAGGTGGTGAAATAGAAAACATTTTATCAAATACAAATCTGATCAAAAAATTGTCAGAACTTGTACTAAAATTCCAAAGAAATTTTTTCAAACTAAGAAAGTTTCTGAAGAAAAAGAAGAGGAAGAGGAAGTAAAAGAGGGAGAAGGAGGAGGAGGTGGATGAAGAGTATTGAACCTCATTTGCCTCTGATTAGGAGTGAATAATAAACACAAATTAAAATAGGTATAAAAATTACTATACAATTAAGGAATCAAACAACATGACTAAATTTGCATATTAAAATCTGATGACTTTAAATTGTTGTAGCATAAAAGACTATGAGACTATGGAGTTTACTGAGTTAAACTGTTGACAGCTTTTTAATTTCTCTAAGCAGTCTTTTTTAAATTCTTTAAATTCTTTAAAAAATTGATCTTAGGGATTCTGAGTCTCTTTCACTTTAGTATCGATTAACACCAACAATTTAGTTATTGTTACACATATTCGGTAAGGTAGAGGCTTAACATAATATAATACAGGAGGTTTAAATAGATATTCTACATTAAGTAATATGATGGGGAAAAATTATTTGAAGGAACTTTAAGAAATTTTTACCATACCCTTAGCCCTATCAAGATGAGATGTTAATATCCCGTAAACTTACATAAAAATCTGATACTTAATACCAAACCTAAGAGAACCTATTTTTCCTAGTGAAGCAGAAACATAAAAGCCCAATGTTTCAAGGGATTTCAAGAGCAAATAGAACATTTTCACGGTAATCTCTCCTATTTGTATCATGCTTTTACTGCTTTAATAGTGCTTTCTACAGCTTATTAACTTTTATCTTTAAGTAGGCATTAAGATTTTATCTTAAAATTGTGTTTTCTTGGAAGGTAATGAGGAAAAGGGAATAAAATGTAAAAAGAAAAAAAGAATAATCAGAAGAAAAAAACAAAAAATAGAATTTACTTGGCATAATTAATATGAAAAAATAATATATATGTAATAGTGTGGTTTTTTGAAGTTATTGACATATTTATATTGTGCCTTATAAAGGGCTATATAAACATTTCGTTGGGATTCCTCTTCAGTTCCATAATTACTGAGATAAGATATCAAATGACATCAATAAACTATGGATAAAATACTTGCAGATTTTCCATAGCATGAAAATTCAGAGCACTGGCCTCTCCTCTCTCTCTTCTCATAGTCATATATATATATATGTACAAAAAAAGTCATATATATATATATATATATACACACATGCATTCAGTACTGATGGAAGTATTTTATGTGTTAAGAACTTGCGTACTGTGGTGAATATTATGAATATAAACCTAACCTCACAGAGCTACCAAGTTAATCCGGGAAAACAGATAGTATACAAAATACTTGCAAATGAAATGAATGTTACAAGAAGGGAATTGCAAGTAGAATGAGTATAATGCCTGTGGAGCAAACGTGTTCTAGTCTAGAATAGTAAGGAAGTATAGAAAAAGTGTCTGTTCCTGTTGTTTTTCTAGCTGAAATCTAAAGAATTATTAGGGATTACTTTAATACCTTATTGAAATGGAAAGATGGTCTTGCTGGTAAGTTCCAGACTTCAGGTACATCAAATACGAAGGCTTACAGTTGAAGAAAAGTGACATCTTCAAAAAAAAAAATGGAGACAAATCCTTTATACCTGATTATGGACAGTAGAGAAATGAAAGCATGGTTGTTAGTGGAGGAGAAGCACAGTGGGCTTCAGTGAGACACTTTAGTGGATCAACTCTGATTTGAAACCACAGAGGTCTTGGAAGTCTATTGATGTTCCTAGTGGAGAAAGCAGTTTGTCAGAATCAGAGAGATGCCTATTCAAATACTTTATATCCATTTTGGTATAAATTATATTCATTAAGTGACATGAAGTATTATGTAAAGAGGTTAAACTAAATTGCATCAAGGCATTCCAACACAGTTGGTAAAAAATGGGCCTCTCAGGGGACTCAGCAGAAACCTGGGCTGACCTTCCTAATTTGGAACAAGGCCAAGCAACTTAGGAACTTTGGAGACATGAGACTATCAGGGTTCTGTGAAATAACAGGGATATGATATAAAGTGGGATTTAGATATTCATATAAATAACATTTATATCACTTGTACGGTAAATGCTTTTTATGCTAATATGAACATTCAAAAATGATGAATCAAACAGAAAAAAGAATCAAGCCATAAATAGAAATTTGCAATGTGTTTTAGAAAGTATGATTTAATTTACTCTTAGGACAGGAAAATGCTGAAAAATAAATCTTTAAGAATGTAGTAATTTATAGCATATTTTAAAGCCAATTAAAACATTATTATAATATTCATATTTGTTCTATGAATTGAGAAATGAGGGGACATAAAATTAAATATGATTTTTAAAAAGGCAATAAATACAAGCTGTTTTTATAAGGAAAAAGTTTTTTTAAATAATGTCAACTGAAATCAAATGCAGATTTAAATTAATGAAGTAAATTATGTTGATCAATTTGCTGTTATTTTGGTAAGAACTTTATTACAAATCACATAGTAATCATCATAAATATTTTAGAAAGTTGATTTAAAGGTAAAACACTAATTACTTCCAAGTGTTTACATTGACTTACATTTATGTATGATTTATATAAGCTATGAAATAAAATTTGGCAGTAGTGGTTAACGGAAAATATTTGCATCAAAATATTTTTATTGGAATTACATTCTGATATTTACTGATTATTAGACAATTCCTTAGAAACAAGAATAGTTTGGTTTTGTATTGATCAAAACAGTATTTTTTTGGAGTTAATTTCTTCTGTCTACTAATGTACGAATTGAAAATCTGATAAATATATAATAGCATAGATAAGAAAAATCAGCTTATCACTAAAGTATAATCATAATCATTTAGGAATAATAAAATTCATCAATTTTAATAGAACAGTGTATTTCCTTTCTCAAATTTCTATGTATATGTGTGTGATTGTGTACAGCCATAACTATCTATCTATATTTATTTAGAGATGTATCTATCAACATTTGTCTCATATGCCTCTGTGATTATCTAGATAGGTATCTAAATATAAATATATGTAGATTTATAATCTTTAAAATTGTTATTTTTGTTGCTTTTATTCATTATTTATATTTTATGTGTAAATTTATATTTCATTACAATTTTAAAATACATCATATCAAGAAGCTCACTAATCTTACATGGAAATGCCACAGTTTGAGTTTAATCCTGTTATTAAACACTTGTTGGGATCCAATTCTTTTTACTCAAAATAATGCCATCATAGGGGATCCCTGGGTGGCTCAGCAGTTTGGCACCTGCCTTCAGCCCAGGGCCTGATCCTGGGGACTGGGGACCCCGGATCAAGTCCCACTTCAGGCTTCCTGCATGGAACCTGCTTCTCCCTCTGCCTCT